TTTTAACTGACGAATTCCGTCTTGATCACTTCCGGTGAGAATGATGTCGTCAACATAGACTAACAAATAGATACACTTATCAGGAGATGTAATCCTATAAAACACAGAATGGTCAACTTTACTGCGGATTAAGCCAAACGCCTGAACAGCAGAACTGAAGCGACTGAACCATGCTCGAGGAGACTGCTTGAGACCATATAAAGATTTCCGAAGACGACACACCTTTCCAGACTCCCCCTGAGCAATAAAACCAGGTGGTTGCTCCATGTAAACTTCTTCTTGTAAATCACCATGAAGAAAGGCATTTTTGATGTCAAGTTGAAGGAGTGGCCAGTGACGAACAGCAGCAAGGGCAAGAAAGAGACGGACTGACGCCATCTTAGCGACCGGAGAAAATGTGTCGCTATAATCAAGGCCAAAGATTTGAGTAAAACCCTTGGCAACTAAACGTGCCTTGAGACGATCAATATGGCCATCAGGTCCAACTTTCACAGTAAAAACCCAGCGACAACCAACTATAGACTTCTCTGGAGGAGCAGAAACAAGGTCCCAAGTGCCATTGGAATGAAGTGCAGTCATCTCATCAAGCATTGCTTGGCGCCACCCTGGATGGGAAAGTGCTTCACCTGTGGTCTTAGGAATAGAAATAGAAGAAAGACTAGAAACAAAGGTGAAATGAGGTGAAGAAAGACGGTCATAACTCAAAAAGGTATAAAGAGGATAAGGGTTACGAGTAGTACGTGTACCTTTTCTTTGAGAAATGGGAAGAGTCTCTGATGAAGGATCCGGAGGGGAAGAAGCAACAGCAGTGGGTGATGAGTCAGCAAGAGTCGAGTCGACAGGAGGCACAGTTTGGCGACGCTGATAGGTGAGAAGTGGACGGTCCTCAGGTATAGAAGCAATAGGTTGCTCATCTGGAATAGAAGCACCTGCAGCTGGCAAAGACAAGTCAAGAAAAGGGACAGGAAGTACATGATCAACCTGTGACATCTGAGATGGGATAGAATTAAAGGGTTGTTGATCAAGAAAAGTGACATCAGCGGAAACTAAGTAACGCTTAAGGTCGGGAGAATAACAACGATAACTCTTTTGAAGACGAGAATAACCAAGAAAGATACACTGAAAGGCTTTGGATGTTAACTTATCCTTACCAGGAGTGAGATCATGAACAAAACAAGTACAACCAAAGACATGTGGAGTTAGAGGATAAAGAGGAACATCTGGAAGCAATAGATTATGAGGAATGTCATTGTGGAGCACAGATGAAGGCATGCGATTGATGAGAAAACAAGAGATGAGTACAGCTTCTGCCCAGAAGTGAAGGGGAACCTGCATATGAATAAGAAGGGTACGGGCAGTTTCAATGAGATGTCTGTTTTTACGTTCAGCCACCCCATTTTGTTGTGGAGTGTGAGGACAAGTAGTTTGATGTAAAGTACCTTGTGTGGCCAAGAAATTAGAAAAATCAATAGAAACATATTCCTTAGCATTATCACTACGTAGAATACGAATAGAAACACCAAATTGAGTATGGATCTCAGTAGAAAACTTTTTATAAATGGAAAATAGCTCGGAACGATTTTTCATTAAATAGGTCCAAGTGCAACGGGAAAAATCATCAATAAAGGTAACGAAATACCGAAAACCTAAAACAGACAAGGTACGCCTTGGACCCCAGATATCTGAATGAACAAGAGAGAAAGGGCCATCAGCTCGTTTATTGACTCGACTGGCAAAAGAGGAGCGTGTATGCTTCCCTTGTTGACATGACACACAATCTAAAGACTGAAGACCGGACAAAAGAGGAACCATTTTCTGCAACTTTGAAAGACTTGTATGACCAAGGCGACTGTGGATAAGTTGTGGAGATTCTGTGAGAGAGCATGCTACTGAAGGACGAGGCACATCCAGATAATAAAGCCCCCGTGACTCACGACCCACTCCAATCATTTTCCCCGTACCCGGATCCTGCACAGAAACAGAATGGTTAGAGAAAGTAATGATGCAAGTGAGGGAGTGGATCAACTTACTAATAGAAATTAAGTTATAAGGGATGCCAGGAATGTAATAGACAGATGTCAGGGCCAAGGTAGAGGTCGGACGAGCTTGTCCAATCCCACGAACTGGGGCTTTGGTTCCATCCGCAAGGGTAAAAGACGGTAAATGATCAGAATAAGTAAGAGATGTAAAGAGTTCCTTATTACCACAGAGATGATCGGTAGCACCGGAGTCAAATATCCAAGTGCCAAGTGATGTAGAATGAGAAACACAAGCAACAGGATTACCAATATAAGGCTGAGACTGAGGAGAAGCCTTCCTGAGAGGGGTTTGGAGTGCAGCATAGTCCGAACCTGAACCAAATGATGCATTGTCTGACTGAGCTATATTTGCAACAATAGAAGGAGAGTTAACCACCGAGAGATCAGGAGATGTTGCTGCCATTTAAAGATAAAATATAAAAGCCGTAAACGAAGGCAAACGATATCCAATCAAGAAGAACCACGCGTCTAAGGTCAGACCCACAGAGAAACAATCACAGATCCAGAAAAGGGAGGAGAAGGGGAGCTTCTCTGTCCAAGACCGGCCGGAAAAAGCCGCCGGAATAGTGCTCACGCGCAAGCAGAAGGTGGCGCGTGAAGCCCACGCGTAGAGAAGACAGGTGGCGCGTGACGGCGCGTGGGAGATGCGTTGCTGACCGGACCACCACAGACCTGGTCGCCGGGAAGAGAGGGTCCTGATCGCGTGAAGTTTGGTCGGAAAAGTCGCCGGAAAAAGTCTCCGGTTGCCTGAACAGTGATTCTGACGGCGGGCGGTGGTTCCGGTGGCCGTCAGAGGTGCTGACGCGTTTGGAAAAATCACTCAGAGGCTGTTTACAGCCCTAGAAGGCTTGTCGGAAGGACGCACGGCAAGAAAGAGGACTCCTGAGCAGTGGGCTTAGGTTTTAAAGCAAAAAACAAGGTTTCTAAGCGGAAGCGAGGGTTCCCAGAACGAAAGAGCTCTGATACCAACTTGAATATAAAATAATAGAAGAATAATATGTTGTGTATTGATCTGTGTCAGAGAGTTACAATATATAGAAACCCTAATGGGCTTAAGTGAAAGGCCCAAATCTAATCCTAATACAGTCAGAATATTTACGGATAAGACGGAATCCAATCATATCTAATCATATCATATCTAATATTCTAACACCCACGTTTTGCAGAATTGAGGGGCAAACTCAGGATTTTTTTTCTACTGCTCATCCTAAAAACCCGAGTTTCAGGGGTGTATTAGTGAATCATGCTTTCTTTTGTAGTATCTGTTACTGTTGTTTATACATTACTGTGAGCCTTGTTGTATTTGATAGTTTCTAAGATTTGTTAGATTGTTATATTTTGTTATGATCTTAGTTATTTTTTTTGTTAGTTTTGCCGACTCACTAATAAGTCAGCACAACTCTGTAAATAGAGCTTTCCCTTTATAGTTCAGTTCAGAATATCGATGTACAAAACTACTCGTGTTTCCTTTTCCTTTCTTTCTCCCCATGCTTTCTGTCACTTTCCCTCATTTTCTCACCAGCTTATAATAAAAGTCATTCATACCCCTTCATGTTACAACTTTAGCTTTTATGAGAGTTGGTAAATGACATGGTACCAAGCCTCTATGAACAAGTGGGGGATTATGCAATATCCACGCTTTAAGCCCAAAGAGCTCTGGTATGAAGAGGTGTGTTTGATATAAAAACCATTGATAAGCCTTCGGCTAACAACATAACCATTCATATTGTACACACTCTCCCCTTAGTGTTGTCCTAAGAATTTTATTAGTAATAATTAAGTTCCCTTTGTTTTAATAGTGTTATAATATTTTCGTAATGGCTAACTCAATTTGAGACTTTAGAATACTTTGATAAGGCTCCAACACGGGGCCACAATCAATTACAAAGAATATTCTTGATGAGTCGACATGCAAAAAAAACCATCCTACAGCTTAGAACAACCCCGTTTTGTTTCAAGTTTTAAAATAACCACCAATTCTACCTTCTTATACCAAGACTACAACTTTAGTTAAACTGAGTCACACAAAATTACAATGAAGATGGATGGTAACTCGCTTACAACCATACAATTAGTGGTACTCTAATCTAGCTAGTTCTCCAGTGATTTGTGTTATTTAATGCTAGAGTTTTCAGCACATATCATCTCATTAACTTTCCTTGTAAGAAGAACCACAAATCACTGCCAGATCTCCACCATAAGAGGCACAACATGATTGTACATTTCCCAATTGTGCCAAGGGCATTCTTATTGGTAAATACTCATTACACCTCAAAGGCCCAAACAGACTCGGATAGTATCTAAACTAAGATTAAAACGCAGGAGCAAATGGACTTGATATTTATAAATCAAATTTTTGGAACTAAAAATCAGCTAGTCTGCCGGTTGGGTCAGTTGCCCAAGATCACAATTTGTGGATTCATTTTACAGCAATTTAGCACTAGCAATGAACAACTCTACTGCTTTTCTGGCAGCATTGAAAAGTTTATCTATATTTATTGGCTCGTGGTGCCCGAGGGACAATAGAAATATTTTATATTTAAATGCATATCTTCATTTCGAAAAGTCAATTTTTTTCCCAAAATTGTGGAAGAATTGTAGTGTAGAGAGAGAGAGAGAAGGGGGAAGATGGAGAGCACCGAGAGATGAAATGAACATACAGAGATGGGCTTTGAAGGCATCAAATAAAAATATGCATTTTTGGGCTGTCTGATAGATTTTTTGTACATCAAAATTGCTGTGTGGGTTAACTATCAAGTGGAGCCATAGACAAGCCAGAGCTGCAGATTCCTTAATGTAACAAACAAAACTAGCACTTTGGAAAGCATGGTAATATTTAAAAAAGAAAAAAAAAGGGTCGTATCTTTGACAAAACTTTTCAGATGAAAATGAAATTTGAACAAAACTGAAGGGATATAGGATACATATTTGCCTAAAAATATAATTAAAATGCAATATCACCTTTTCATCAGTAAAATCATATGCAAAATTTTCATTGACAGTCTCACTGGGAACCTCTTTTAAATTTTCCGGTTCACAATCCTCATATTGAGATACATTGCTTGCAGGCGTTGCTACGACACCATTAATTTCATCCTGTTGTTAGAAAGTGAGCATTAAACTAAGCCTTTAACTCACTTTGATATTCACAGTGGTAAAATTAAACACATACAACTTACACAACGTCGACCAGGGACCATGCTGGAGTTGCCTGTGCCAATTTGGCTGATAGATAAAAGATCATCTCCATTTTCTGCAGTACATTAACCATGCCCAATGTCAGAAACGAGCAAAATTTGTGCAAAATAAAAGGGGCATGTACCTGATGCTAGTCCTTCCTTAACATCACCATCACCAGCTCTAACTATTTTGCCACCATCTTCACTGTGCTCTGGACTACTTTCTTGCGTTACTGATTCTCCTAATTGATTTAAAAAAAATATCATAAATGTGCCAATGGTCAATTAAGGAAATCACAATAGATATATTAAGGCAGAGCTGGCCGTGTTATGACTCTGGAATTTCTAAGCTTGATTGATACTTAAAAAATGGAAAGGAAAAATGAAGGAAAGAAAAAGGGAATTGAAGGGAAAAGATTTATTTATTGATGAGAAAAGACAAATGAAGATACAAGAGACACTTCTCTTGCCAAGGGGCACTTCCCTTCAACTGAGCACTCTCAGTCTACTTCAATGTTTATCAAAAGCTACTCCTAAAAGGAGGATTATCTCCCTTATATAGTATCTAAGCTTCTCTCAAAAGCCCATTACCATCTAACTACCTAACTAACAATACACAACAGTGACTATCTATCTTGGGCAATAATTTATGCCCCTAACTATTCTAAAAATCCTCTGAGAATATCCTTGCCCAGCTGCCTACTTTTTCCAAATACAGGTCGTAACAGGCCGCCAGATGGTTTTCTTTCAGAAAGGTATATATTGGACCATCCTAATTACCATCTTTTCTTATATGGTCCGTATTGGCTTCGCTTGGTGAGAATAGTTCAGCATCCAAGGTACAAAAATGAGGTTGGTTGACATAATAAAACCGCTTTTCTCTCCCCCTTCACCCAACAGTACTTTTTTTAAGAAAAACTCACCTTTCTCTCCAGCATAACGTTTGAGTAACTCCTCAATTGGAAGATCCATTTCATCACGCAAAGCTGCCAATTCCTCTTGCCTTTCACCTTCAGTTATAAGAGCCTCATCTTCCTCAAGGGTTTGCTCATCATCCTCCTGGAAACAGTACCACCATTATATGAGTTTGGACCAATCTTCACCCATTGAAATACCAGAAGAAATAATCAGGTAAAAACACAGTAATAGAGGAATTGTTTAACTTCTAAAAGAAACTGATCAATAAGGAAACTTCTTCAGTATGCACATGAATATATTAACAATGCCACAATTAGAAAATACAGAAAGCATGCCATATAATGGTTTTTTAAAGATACAGACTATAATAATATAGGAATGTGCAAAAAATTTCAACAAATATGGACACCAGTCAAACAAACAATGTGCAAATTAATAAAACCAGTTTTAGTTCACGCAGAGTGAAAATAGAACCTGGATGTTCTGCAATATATTCCATTATATCATTCACTTGATATAAAATAAATCAGCATTAAGAAATAGAAACTCATAATCTTTTATCTAGGCCTTTGGAAGCAACAAGTTTCCTTCACAGAAAATGTGCCAAAAAGCTGAGTGTTTGATGGTGATAATCAAAAGAATGGTGTCAAAAAAAATACCAATTCATCATCAGATTGTACATCATATTCTTCATCATTCTCAGGTGCATCCAATTGATAATCTGATACAAATGGATTGAGTACAGTTAGAAAAAAAAAGTTATCTCCACCTATAACATTAAAGATACATCTCACTACCCACCAACATTAGCTTCCTTAGGTTCACTAATAAAGTCTCCATGTACATCTTTGTATTGAATACTCATGTCATACTCAGCAGGAATTTTCTCTGCTGGTTTATAAGTATCCACAAGATTTTCTGCCAACATTGTTGAGTACCTGAAAACAAAATATATTAAAAAGAAAAGGTAAAAAAAAGTCAACTGGACTGTCAGTTACTGCAAAATGTAATTGAAAAAGCTGCCAGTCACTGCAAAAGATAATTGGAAAAAAATGGAATCCACCTCTCAGTTTGCCCTAAAAGAAATTCAAGCTGTTTGTCAAGTGCCTTTTTCTTCTTCTCATCGAGCTCCATTTGATGCTTGTAAAGAACCTGGGACAACAATAACAGATGAAATGAAGTGCATAACGGAAACTGTGAAAAAATGAATTTAATAAAAAAAGAATTACCAGCTTTTCTATTTTTGTCCAGAATTTCTTAACATCCTTAGAAATATTCAGCGCAACTTTTCTTAACCGCTGCTCCTCTTCCTGTAAAAGATGCAGCTCTCATCACACAACAGCAGAGTGGGGAAAAAGCATGCATACAATCACTGAATCATGCTTTCTGTTACTTAAAATAATAAATCACAATGTTGTTAACAGGGGCAGGTTATCGATTGCTCTCATTTATAGAAGAGAGATCAGAACCTTCATCTTCTTTTCTCCTCTTGTAGCCTGATCTAACATGCCTTTGCTGGCTCTTAAAGCAACTTTCTTTGCCTGAGCTAATTTCCATTTCCTTTCTGACTCAAAGTCCTGAATAACAAAAGTATAGCAAGCAAAATCATACGAATTAAAATATTGCCATATTTAAAATTTCAGATTTTGAAGGTGAAACTAGTGGATACCTTTGATAACCACACCATCTCTTCTAAGACATGGTCCCAATGAGTTTTGGGTCGCCGAGGCTCCCTTGGAGCTTCCAGAGCCTGACACAGAAAAAAGCCATAAATTGAGAGATGGAATAATAGGAATTTATACAAATATTAGACTCTAAATCCTGATTAAATAAGGGAATAAATCGTGGAATAAAAAACAAATAAGTAAACTATTCCTAAGATATTATATAAGATACTTTAATCTATTCTAACATACAAGAAAGATATTATGAGATATTTTTCATGTATTCTAACACTTCCCTAAGCTTTAATCTTGTTAGTTGTTACATATGAATCCAATAAAAATTGAAAAATAACCAAACAATATAATATGGTGAAGCACCCAAGGGCCCATCTCAGAATGAGCTAAAACTTGACCAGTTGCATGGAAACAGATGTCTCAGAAATATTCATTCTAATGGGCTAAGGTCTAGTGTTTTTTCACATTTCGCATTCGCTTTGATTAGTTATAGGAATTGCACGATTTGCGATTTGAATCTTACAATTCAATGCAATTTGCTAAGCCAGCAATTCGTATCATGTGATAAATTGGAGACAGCTTTGTATCGTGCGATATATGCATGAATCAATGCGAGTCCCTATCACCAATATGAATCACACAATTCAACAGTTTGCTCATTTTTTTCTTTCATCAATTCTCATAAAAGAAATTGAAAAGTCAAATAAACATAAGTTGTTAAATCAAAAGAAACTAAAGGAACACCTTTGAATTCAACCTTCACCCTACTTGCCTATTCCATTGATTTTTTTTCATTCTTCTGAAATACAGGCTTCATACACAAACTCACTTTATGCATCCTACTTGGCTATTCTATTCCTATGTTTTCATTCTTTTGAAATAGAAGCTTTACAAAGTCACTCACTCACACTGTATGCACCTTATTTGGCTATATCATAGCTATGTTTTAGTTCTTTTGCAACATAAACTTCATGCAATCACTTTATGTGATTCAGTTATAATTTATGACTTATGATTTTGTTAAGATATTTTCTAAATTTCTAAATCCTTATTTAAAATTATTTACATTGTGCATTACACATCATTTATGATATATTTCAAACTATACTTCATTGTGTCTTAAATCTTACGACTAGTTGAATTTGCGATTTCTGATTCAAAAAATAGCTTAACGATTCATGATTTAAATTGCGATTTGATGACTTTAGTTTCAATGACTTTTTAGAGTTTCTGTTTTATTAGCATATAAAAATGCTTAGCCTACATAGCTGTTCTGTATGTGTATTTTTCTATTATACAACTGCATGCAGCAGATTACTTCTTCTAGTATGTTAGGCTGTTAGACTGATAGTTAGAGTAGAAGTAACTACTCATTAGCATATTCCTATTTTCTAAGTTAGCTTCCAGCTCTATAAATAGAAGTCACTGTAACTGCAACTGATTTCAGTTGATGTAATTCAGACATTCAGAATATAATGAATTCTCTTGATTTCATTTTCTCTTATTTTCATTTTCTTTAATTTTCTTTCTCTTTCTCTCAGTTTCTCTCAAAACTGAATATTTTTATTTCTAGTGACATTTTTGTAAATTTGCACTATTTTTTTTAATTGCTTTTTCGGGTTATTTGAGTCTGAAATTGGTTGTTGTTGAATTTCTAAACAATGTATATGTTTTTCAAGAACTATGGTTCTCCATATCAATCCTAATTTATCTATTTAGCCTATTTTTGCATGTTTCAATGTTAGCTGGGCCCCACAAACATAGCTATACAGCATTCCAGGGATGCAGGAGACGTGAAAGAGGTGAACATTACTAGAAAGGCAACTCAACAAGATGATAATAGAAATGTCCTAGCAATCAAGTATACACAAGAAGAGCTAAAACTTCTCCTCCAAGTTCATCAAGAACTAACATTTGGAAGCTTCGAGACGCAAGAGAACTTAGTAGACCCAAAAAATTCAAAGTGAAATTGCGGCTTGTCTGCATCAAACAAGGTTTGCAAATTAAAAAAAGCGTTATGGCCTAAAACAGTCTCCAAGAACATGGTTTGCAAGGTTTGCAAAGGCAATAATGCTTGAGAAAGGATATAAACAGAATCAAGGAAACCACACTTTGTTTGTGAAGCATTCATCTTCAGGGGGAGTTACAGCTTTTCTAGTTTATGTAGATGATATAATTGTTATTGGAAATGATGAAGAGGAAAAAATAGCCTCGAGTCAACATCTTGCATCAGAGTTTGAAATCAAGTCTCTAAAAAGGTTGAAGTACTTTCTAGGGATTGAAGTAGCACATCCTAAGCAAGGCATTTTTATCTCCCAGCAAAAATATGTCACTGACCTTCTCAAAGAGACCAGTAAAACTGCATGCAAACCAATCAGTACCCTAATAGACCCAAATTTAAAACTTGGGCCAGCTGATGATGATACACCCATTAATATGGAAATGTATCAAGTATCAATGACTTGTAGGGAAGCTTATTTATTTGTCTCATACAATGCCAACAGTAAGTGTAATTAGTCAATTTATGCACAATTCAAAAGAAGTTCATCTTCAAAAAGCCCATAGAGTTTTACAATATCTCAAAGGATCATCGGGAAGAGGTATTTTATTTAAAAGAAAAGGAGGAATTTTGCCAGAAGCCTATACTGATGCTGACTATGCTGGTTCACCTGGTGACAAGAGATTCACCACTGGTATTGCACATTCCTTGGAGGAAATCTTGTGACTTGGAGGAGTAAAAAACAAAATGTAGTTGCTAGGTTTATTGCAAAAGCAGAATTCAGGCCAATGGCTCAAGGGATATGTGAATTGTTGTGGATAAAAATTCTTCTTGAAGACTTAAAAGTCAAGTGGGAAGGACCAATGCGGCTCTATTGTGATAACAAGTCTACAATTAACATTGCTCATAACATTGTTCAGCATGATCGAACCAAGCATATTGAAATTGACAGGCACTTCATTAAAGAGAAACTTGAGAATGGATTGATTTCTACTCCCTATGTAGCTTCAGAAGATCAAGTAGCATATATTTTCACTAAAAGTTTAAGCAACTTTGTATTCCAAAGTCTAGTGTCCAAGATGAGAATGGAAAATCTCTATTCTCCAGCTAGAGGGGGAGTGTGGGAAATTGTAAAAAATAAATTAGCTGGGTGCTTTTGTAATTAATATAAAATTATAAATAGTGGAGCATGATTAATGGAGATAGTGGAGTACTAAGAATTAAATATACTTAGAAAATAATCACTTAGGAAGCGTGAAAGACTCTTGTAAATATCATACGCTATTATTCTCCCTTTAAATATAAATAGATGTAGAGTGCTTGGTCTGTTTTAAGCCAAGCAAAAGTATTATTTTCTCTTCATATTTTATTTTTTTCGGCACAGTTTCTGCCATATAGATAAAAATGTAAGCTAAAATCCATATCTCTATTTCTTTTTCTCTTTCAGTGTTTTCTTCTGTGTTATTTTGTATCAGCCAGTTCTAATTCACAACTCGCCACAAGAGTTATTTCAATTAGTTTCACTTTCTTCTAACTTGTAAGTACACCCGAGAAGTAACCGTCAATGTCGCACCTGATCTTCCCCAATCTGAGTTTCATTTTTTTCTTTTATGGTACAACAAAAAAACATACACCAAAACTTCAAGCCACACAAGCAGAGCAAGGAATCAAAACCAGTGACAACAATTTCATTCATAAAAAAAAAAAAAAAAAAATCAATGCATGAAACCAAAAAAAAAAAGGACAGAGAAAAGAAAAACGCCTTTAAACGACGAAGAAACGAACTAACCCTCTGTCGTTTAGCTCTGGTCTCGTGATCAATCTTAGACCTGGGACCTTTGGACGCCATCGCGCTTACCAGAGCTTAAGCATCTAACTATCTGTTTCTTAGCATAAAACAAAATAAAAATTGTTAAAACTCGATGCGATAACCTAAGGCAATGAATGCATCACGAAACATGAAACTCGTTTCGAAAAAGCGTTATGAACAAGGAAACGTACCGTATCGAGCGAGAAGGTCGAAATCGTTGGAATTCGCGGTGTTGCGTTTGATAGGGTTAAATAGGGTTCGTGAAGAAGGGAGTATCGGTGGAGAAAACGCAGTGGTTGAGAAGTGTTGTGATCGTGGAGAATGAAATAAAAAATGGAAGGTGAAGTGTTAACTCTGCAAAAACCTAAGAGGGGAAGAAGAAGAAGACGACGATAATAGAAATTAGAAGAGGCCAAGCGAAGCGAGGAGGACACAGCAGCTTCATCTTACTTGTCAAAACGCAGCGTATGAGGTAGAATGGATTAAATTTATTTTTAATAAAATTAAATTTAAAAATTTATCTTCTTTGAGAAGTTTCCGTACAAGGGAGAGAAAATAAATGTTGATCATTAACGCAGTTAAAAATTTGTCCTAGAACTTAGTGTTACTAATTTGGCAAAAAAAAAAATTATTACTTTTTTAATAATTATTTATGAAGGGTAGGATATTGTAATAATCAATTAATATTACTATCAATGTTATTACCAATCAATTTCATCGTTAGATCAAATATTTGATTTATTTCTGTCTTTGTATGGTTATAATTCCACATATTTAATATAAAAGTATTAAATATGAGAAATCATAATCATACAAAGTTGAAAATGAATATAAAGTATTAAACATGGGAAATCATAATCATATAAAGATAGAAATAATTATAATCGTTGGATCAACATAATTGATCTAACAGTAAAATTGATTAGTAGTAACATTAATTGGTTGTTACAATATTCTTCCCCTATTTATAAATAGATAACAGTTGAGAACTAATTCACGAATCTATTACAACCAGTCAAGCCCATTTTGGATGTGCCCAATACTGCCCCAATAAGGTGCAACCAATGAGGCAAACACGCTTTTTTTAGGTGTGACTGGTCGCAACCCAGCACCCCTATATATATTCATTCTTTTCATTTTTTTACTTTACATCATCTCTCTACCTTCTCTGACTTCTCTCAAGATTTCTCCTTAAGTTTTTTGCTCAGTAAAGCTTTGCCAATCAAGTAAATCTTAATATTTGCTTTCTATATTTTTGAATTACAGCAAAAGATATGTTATACTAGTGATCTAGAAAATTGTTAGTGACCTAAGAAATTGTTAGTGACGTAGGAAATTGCTAGCGACTTATTGTATGAATAGTGACATAGGATATATGTTTGCAACATGGTTAGTGATTTATAACATCTTAGTGACTTAGGAAAATTAAAGTAGCTTATAGATTATGCATACATACTTTTAAGATGGCCATGGATTTTTATCGTAGTTAATCTAATTTATTTTGTGTAGTGACTTGGGGCATACATGACAAATATATTAGGCTTAGTGATGTGCATTAAATTTAATATTTTTTAATATTTTTTTAAATCATGTACTAGACATGTAAATTATTTGAAATTAAATTAGTTATAACAATCAATTTGTAATTTTTCATAGTATATTATTATGGTTGAGTCCTCATCATCCGAGTCTCTTCGGTTTGCATTCGAGCACAAGCCTGAGCTTACCGATCCCACCATACACGTGCTTCCAGGACCATACAGGTGGGAAGTACTCTAGAGTATGGGTGTTCATCAATCGATCCAAACCGATTCAAATCACGGTGACCGAACCGAAAAACCAATAACCGAATAAAATGAAAACCGAAAAAAAAATCACAAATTTTAATTGGATTGGATTGTTTTCGGATTGGTTGATGAAACCCGATCCAATATATTAATTCTCCTCTACCTATTTCGGTCTTTCCCCAATCATAGCCAAAAAATTTCTAAACCCAAGATCCATTAACCCAAGAAAAAACCTAGTCACATCTCAGCAACAAAATTTCATCTATGAAGAGCTTCATATCTCATTGCGCAAAAAAAAACTATATTATCGTTTAACGATACTTTTGTATTTCAAAAAAAATTACAAATCCAATATATACAAAAGATGTTATTTCCGCAATAATCATGAAACAAATTTTAGGATTTTAAAAAAACCGAGAACTGATTCAATCCAAACCGAAAAAAATTGGATTTGATCGGATTTGAAAAAAATTCAAACTAAATGGATGATTACCTGAACAAACCGAAAGGATTGGATCAAATGATTTTTGCTTCCAAAATCGATCCAATCCAGACCACGAACACCCCTACTATGGAGGCGAACACAGCACGCGCACGTTTCACATGCCGTGTGAAACGAAGACAAGGTTGGAGCGCTGAAGACACAACGTGGTAGACTGTTTGGGGGACCAACTCCTGACGATATTCTCGACGTTGTCGTAGAGTACTTTACACATACGAGATTTATACATCTCGGACGCATGCGACATATTCAAGTATGCATTTAAGAATGTAATATATTATATTGTGTTTAAATATAATATTTGTAAACTACTGTATTTGATAATTGGGTTGATTTGATGGTCTGTCTGCATGTATTTCAAATTGATCATGCCCTTATCAGTGCTTTGGTCGAGAGGTGGAAACCAGAGACACACATTTTTCATATGACGTATGGCGAGATGACCATTATCTTGTAGAATGGGGTGGCTATCCTGAGATTGCCTACTAAGGGCAAGTGGTTACCAAACCTACTTTTGGTGATTGGTCGGTCCTGTGTAATGTGGTTATTGGTCATGAGCTAGATGAGGCGACTAAGCTCGATGGTGGCAATCTATCACTTTTGTACTTTGATAGACTTTATGTGCGTTGGGGTCCAATTGCTACGCATCCTAAGTAGGTGGTTTTTTACACTAAGGCGCACATTATGCGTATATTAGGAGCATGGCTTCTCTGCGACAGATCGAGGGGTAGCACTGTTGCATGTCGATACATTCCATTGTTCTCCGAGGACTTTTAGAAGATTGGCAGATATAGCTGGGAAACTGTGGTTCTCGTACATTTGTTTAGACAGATGAGCGATTGTATAGACCCGGGCATATCAGACATTGGTGGGTATCACATTCTACTTCAGATCTGGGTGTGGCTCAGATTCCTACCCATTGCTCCCCTTCTTCCTCATCCTACTCACTTGAAGTGGCATTTCGTACACTGATATGTGTCTTTTGTATTGCGTGATTTATTATGTTTTTATGAGTATTATAATTCATGTTTATGTTAAATTTGGAAATCATGTTTAATGTTTTAGGCTACTCAGAGCTCATGAGATTATGTGGTATCAGGTAACGGTAGACACGCTATGTAGAGATGAGGTATGTTCTATATATTTAAATTTCAAAAAGTGGTTACATATGGTAATGAATAATGACTATATGTTTATTTTTTTGTGTAGGTGATTTGGCAACCGTACGGAGACTACCATTTCATAGATGCATTTTATCGTGAGTGGTATTTGTGGCTGGTGATGGGACGAAAATTCCTTCCTATCTAAACTCATTTTGATGGTAAAATACCATCTGTTCCCTCATCTGATTACCAATTTTTGCATTAAAAACACATGTTTATATCTTTGTGACAAAACACAGTGGAAAACAGATGATGAGGTAATCATTTGAGAAATATAGGAAAAAGGGGAACGGATTGGAATATTAAATACACATGCTCTACTAACTCAATCTCTCTTACCACTTTGCAGGAAACGTTGAAAGAAGCTTCCATAAAGCATAAAGAGGTACAATAATTAAGTAGGAAGAAACGTGTACAACAGAGAATAAAGAGTTCCCATTGGCCAAGAGGAAAGCAAAGCATGGGAAGTGCAGAAGGAAAGGTAAATCTAAACAATAAGTGCCCCATACAGCAACTTGTGTCCCTCTTGCGCATTGTTCACACCGCCCCTTTCATGAATTAAAGAAAACAACTCAAGGGAAATTACAATTGTTGCCATCACTCTTCTGGCCTATAAATACGACGTTCCAACACGAAGATACGATCGAATTTCTTAAAAAGAGATCACTTAGTTTCAATTATAGTTTTTACTTTTCAGTTGTATAGTTTTAGCAATAGTTAAGCGACAACAACTTTTCCTCTATTCTGTATCATCCACTTGAGACTCCTCACGAGCAACAACCATACTTCTCCATTTTATTTTGTTGTAACCTAACTTGTTCCTTATTTATAAAAGTTGTTATTTCTCTTCTCTTTCATTCGGTATCTCTGAACTGAATCTCAGGTCTATGGGATTTCAGTTTGGAATAATTATGTTTATTATTATAGCCATGGGCTAAGTTATTTGTGGAACGGAAAAGCTGTGAAGTTCTTAAAGAACTATTTTCAAAACTTTTGCACTGAAGCTTTTGTATTTTTGTGATTAAGTGTGCTATATTCATTGCGTATCAATGGAAATTGAACTCATACTGAGAAAGGAACTTCCATAAAGAAGGGATTTCAGACAGCTTAATCAGAGGAGGAAGGTAGTGTTGTGAAAACAACACTACTGGTTGTCTTAGGAATAAAGAACCACCTCGTTCACTGAAGGTTCTGAACTTAGTAATTGTTGGAGTCAAGGGAATCATAGGAATATGGAAACTTGTGAGCCATTAGAGTCCATGAGATGAGGAATCGAGTTGGCAGTGAAAACAGTGAAAAGACCTGAACAAATTCAGAAGGGTTAAGTCTTGAGTTGAGAATATAGCTATTTAAGAATGGAACAGTGGATTCGTTCCTTGTGTTAAAAAACTGTTTTTACTCATCCATATTGTTGGCTCTTAAATATTGTTATGTTATGGATATTTTCTTTTATAAATCTTGTGAATATAACATCAAATCTCCAATGAATATTGTCGTTCCTTATCTCATCAAAAAGGATTTCATATATAACGAAGCGAGTAGTTGTTTGAAGTCAAATTGAACTACTATCCTTGAGGAACGTTGTCAAGATAGTAAGGAACGAACGACCAAACAGTTCAAATACTGTATTTTCTATTCATTTTTAATTCTTTATAAAATAGTTTAATGTATAATTTAGAGCTCTATCCTCGTGGGAACGATAATCTGGCATTAATAGTCTCATTTATTACTTGATGCGTGCACTTGCGCACTTAGGTTGAAGTCAAGAGAACGACTGGTTTTTCTCTTGATGAACAGAATTAAGGGAACATCCTTTAAATGAACATCTAAGCAACCAACAAGTTCACACCCAACAAGTTTTTGGCGCCATTGCCGGGGATAGTTACACTAAATCCTGT